TACATTATACAGCGCAATGCAGAATACCACTAGCTATATAGGAATACAACAAATTCCAGCAATACAATATAGCTGGCGGTATTCTGCATTGCGCTGTATAATGTACTATTGCTGGGTTTTGTAGTCCTCTATACAGTGCAGTGCAGAATATCACCAGCTATAGAGGAGTACAACAAATCCCAGCAATAGTACATTATACATATAGTGTATAATGTACTATTGCTGGGATTTGTAGTCCTCTGTATAATATACATCACCATTTACCATCAGCCATAGAGGAATACAAATCCCAGCTATACATTGTAGAGCACCATGTGGGGGGGAGTGCAGGCTTACCTGAGCAGTCTTCCAGCAACTTGCTTCTGAGATAGGGCCTGTCTATCGGCGATTGTCATCCCCCCACACCTGCTCCTCCTTACTTCTTCTCCCCGCGTCCCTGTGCCGATCGTGGATGTGGGAGGGCGGTGAGCGTGAGGCAGGGAGGGGGTGCGGCATGTGGAGTGTGGATGTAGTTGGGTCTGGCAGCGCGAGCGTGAGGTGGGGAGGAGGTGCGGCGCGTGAACAGGGCCAACTAACCAGAAGCCGATTAATCGATGATTGAAAAAGTTGACAACTTTTTTAATCATCGATTATAATCGATTATGTCGATTAGTTGTTGCAGCCCTACCAGAGTCCAGTATGTTACTAAGCCCAGTACGTTACTAAGCCCAGAGTCCAGTGCGTTACTAAGCCCAGAATCCAGTACGTTACTAAGCCCAGAGTCCAGTGCGTTACTAAGCCCAGAGTCCATTGCGTTACTCAGCCCAGAGTCCAGTGCGTTACTAAGCCCAGAGTCCATTGCGTTACTAAGCCCAGAGTCCATTGCGTTACTAAGCCCAGAGTCCAGTGCGTTACTAAGCCCAGAGTCCAGTGCGTTACTAAGCCCAGAGTCCAGTGCGTTACTAAGCCCAGAGTCCAGTGCGTTACTAAGCCCAGAGTCCAGTGCGTTACTAAGCCCAGAGTCCAGTGCGTTACTAAGCCCACATATACCTATACATGCTATACATAGCATAAAGGTAAAAAGACGATATATGCCGTGTTACACAGGTGAAACTCGGAAAATTAGAATATCGTGCAAAAGTTCATTTATTTCACTAATGCAACGCAGCCGTCTACCAGGAGATTTTGGAGCACTTCATGCTTTCTTCCGCAGACGAGCTCTATGGGGATGCTGACTTCATTTTCCAGCAGGACTTGGCACCTGCCCACACTGACAAAAATTTTCTGAGATTGTGGATTTGGGGTTCTTGGGGTTTTCATGAGGTGTAAGCCATAATCATCACAATTATGACAAATCACGGCTTCAATTATCTTGCTTTGCATGTAATGAGTCTATCTCATATATTAGTTTCACCTTTTAAGTTGCATTAGTGAAATAAATGAACTTTTGCACGATATTCTAATTATTTGAGTTTCACCTGTATATAATTATAGCTAATTTGCCTACAAACTAGACATGTGCACTGCCAAAAAATTCGTTTCGTTTCGTTTTAAATTCGGATTTGTGTTATTTCGTTTTTCAGGATTCGGGTGTGAAAGTCAATTCGGATTCGGAATTCGGACGAAATTCGGTAGCGTTAGTGCGAACATTCGTTTCGTTTTCTGTTCTTATTCGTTTCTTATTCGTTTCGTTCGTTTGCAGCAAAAGTGACATTTGAGGGGGAAAAAAAATTTTTCTCCTTCTCTAATGTCACTTTGCTCCAACGAACGAAACGAATAAGAACAGAAAACGAAACGAACGTTCGTGCGAACGCTACCGAATTTCGGAAATGGAAATTCGGATTCGTTTGCATTCGTTATGTCTGTAATTCGGAATTCGGATACATCCGAATGTCCGAATGTCCGAAAATTCGTCCGAATTTCGATTCGGAACGAATCGCACATGTCTACTACAAACGTCAGGTGGTCATAATAATCTGGCCACTCAGTGTATTCTGTAGACTTGAGGATTAACTCTACAAGGCAGCGACAGCATGGGAATGGGTGCACTGGTGAAGGAAGGGTGATGGCGGTGGGGTCAATGAAGCCACAGCTGGAGTGAATGGCATATGGAATGGTAAGATGTGTCAAGGAACGGCAGCTCCTCTTGAAGGGACAGCATGATGCTGATGCCAAGTGGCTTCCTAATGGAGACTTGCCATGGGTTGTGATGTGAAGTAGTTATAACTTGCACGATAATCTTTGGTTACTGACTTACACTGATTTCATCATGGCCATGAAAATAATAGCAATAGACGTACTAAAATGCCTCAATGCAAATCGACAAAGAATCGTGCACGAGTGATAAAATGGGCATTTACTTATGAAAACAAAATATTGAGAAGCATATTAGGATTTACATCATGGTAAAGAAAAGCAACGAAGAAGGGACACTTAGCAACACATGAAATGGAAAATGGAAACTAGAACCAATTTTTTTCCAAAATATTTTCTAAAAAAAGGTAAAATAACTTTTTTCCCCTAATTTAAAAAAAATTAAAGATTTATATCTATAGATATATCTATCTATCTACCTATCTATATCCATCCCTCCTATCTATCTATATCCATCCCTCCTATCTATCTATATCCATCTCTCCTATCTATCTATCTATATCCATCTCTCCTATCTATCACCTCCATATCATTGGCTTCAGGTGTTCCAATCACCTCCATGGCAACGGGTGTCTAAAATCACGCACCTCGGCATGCAGACGCTTCTATAAACATTTGTGAAGGAATGGGTCGCTCTCAGGAGCTCAGTGAATCCAAGCTTGGTACTGTAATTGGTTGCCACCTGTGCTATAAGTCTGCAGAGAAGGAATATGTCTGAAGAGAAGAGGAAAGAATGCAGAGAGTACCAGTGAGGGTGAAAAGCATGACAAACAGAAGAATTTGGTTATCCAATATGTAGCTGGGGTGTCTGAGAAACTCAGAAGGATTTTTAAAAACCATCACATCCCTGTCTGCTTTAAACCCAGCAATACACCGAGGCAACAACTGGTTCACCCAAAAGACCCAACGCCAAAACACAAGATGAACAACATTGTGTATGCAGTCCAGTGCAGTGAGGAGTGCTCAGAATTGTCGGTGAAACGAAAGAGCAGCTACACCAGCGTATGGCACAGAATAGAAGAGCCAAACCCTCTGGTCAGGATTCAGCAGTGTACCTACATCTAAAGGAAAAAGATCACTCCTTAGAGGACAGTCAAGTACGCATCCTAGACAGGGAGGAGGACTGGTGTGAAAGAGGCCATTTATGTAAAAATGGGGAAAGCTTGACTAGAGGTGGGAGAGGGGGCGAGACATCTATTGTCTGCTACTCTGCCACATACAATGCTGTTTAACACCTCTCTCTGCGCAGGTTAATAACACCTCCTAGACTCCAATTATGCAATCAATGCCTGATTGTGACATTCACCATATTTATTCCCAGATAATTTTTGTACAGGTCATTCCGAATTGAGAAAGCTGGTTGGATGGCCAGTGAAATGTCTTCAAGAAAAATAAAGCAAGTCTAGTTGCCTTGACTTATTTTTTACAGATACACCTGTGAAATAAGTCCATCTGTGAAATTTCCTTGCTAGTAATTATTCTGCGGTCACCTGTTAGTGGTATTATAACAAAGTGGAAGCAACTGGGAACAACAGCAACTCAGCCACGAAGTGGTAGGCCACGTGAAATGACAGAGCGGGGTCAGCGCATGCTGAAGCGCACAGTGCGCAGAAGTAGCCAACTGTCTGCAGAGTCATTAGCTACAGACCTCCAAAATCTGAGTCTGCTCTGGCTGCTGATATCCCATCCAAGATGGTGGCACCCAGCAGAAGTCTCAGGGTTGTTGGAAGTCTACACAAGGGAAGCTTTTACAGGTAAATAACATGAATAAAATATATAAAATGCACATATAACCTTATGGGAAGATTGTTGTAGAAATAAATGATCTGGCGACAGTCCTTTTTTTGCAGACATTTCAGCCTCCCTTATTGGAAAAAAACAAAACATTAAAGTGACATTAAACCCTCAGATTTTTTAACATAAAACAATACTGTAATGTGCGCCTTACTGTAATCCATGGTAGTTTCCCTTCTCTTTGCTGCTCTTCCTTTTAAATCTGTATCTCTTCTCATGCTGGGCAGAACTTCTGTTTTGCAGCAGACTGCCGTGTCTCTGAAATGGATACATGGTGTTTGTGTGAAGGTTCACAACCTGAGCCAGCACTACTAGAAGAGGCACACTTCCTGCACAGCTGCAAAGGGAAGTTCTCCCCCAGCATGAGAACAGATACAGATTTAAAAGGAAGAGCAGCAAAGAGAAGGGAAACAACCATGGATTACAGTAAGGCGCACATTACAATATTGGTTTATGTTAAAAAATCTGAGGGTTTAATGTCACTTTAAAGGCGATTCATCGCTCCCCATAGGGATTCCTCTAGCACTGACTGGGAGGGGCAAAGCCAGCTGTCAATCAGGTGGCGGGTTGGATCCCAACAATATTGTTGGGATCTTTCCCCGCCGCAGCGTGGCTCCACGCTGTCAGCATATAGTGGGCAATAGCCTGCTATTTGTTGAGTTTTGGGTCACAGGAGGACATTAGTAAATGTCCTCCTGTGACCCAAAAGAGAACTAAAGCCAAAAAAGAGGTTTGACACTGTTCTCTTTTAAGGGCCACATTACACCAGCCCGGTCTAAGGCAGTGCCATAAATGTACTATTTGAATGGGCTGCCTGACAAACCACAGGCTGCAGTTTCAGCACCACCACACACCAACGATATTGCTGCGCTCTGATGTAAAAATCCCTAACTGAAAGCAAGAACATTTATTGTTAAAGACAAGCCGGTGGAGGCAGTGTGATGCTTTGGGCAATGTTTTGCTGTGGAACCTCGGGTCCTGCCACTCATGTGGATGTTACTCTGATACGTACCACCGACCTAAACATTGTTGCTGACCAAGTACACCCCTTCATGGAAACGGTATTCCCTGATGGCAGTGGCCTCTTTCAGCAGGATAATGCGCCCTGCCACACTGCAAACATGGTTCAGGAATGGTTTGAGGAACCCAACAACGAGTTTCAGGTGTTGACTTGGCCTCCAAATTCTCCAGATCTCAATCCAATCGATCATCTGTGGGATGTGCTGGAAAAACAAATCCGATCCATGGAGGCCGATCACCTCACAACTTACAGGACTTAAAGGATCTGTTACTGACGGCTTGGTGCCAGATACCACAGCATACCTTCAGAGGTCTAGGGGAAGCCATGTCTCAATGGGTCAGAACAAGGGGGACCTACTAATAATAGACTGGTGGCCATCACATTATGGCTGATCGGTGTATATTACATATGTGTATGGTTTGAGTATTGTCATTTTATGAATGATTTGTCAGTCATTCAACATAATCACCATCTCTGTTCATTTCAGGGTGACAACATGGAAGAACAAGGTGACAGCCGAACAGACCAAACTTCTGCAAAGCAGCAGATTCCCCCCATTGTCCAGTTTCTACAGCAGAACTATACAAAACTCCCTAGGTTTGAACAGTAAGTAACATCTGCACCACTCTCATTCTGCTGATTAAAGAGGACCTGTATTTGAAGAAAAAGGGAGAAGTGGGCCAGTAACTGCCCCCGGGGTTTAAGTGTTTTAGAAAATACCAATTTTTCTGTATCAAAGCTTTATTTTACTTTAACAGGTACAGTCAAGGAGGGCTTTTGGATTCCTTTAGTCCAGGGTTAGCCAAACTGCGGCCCTCCAGCTGTGGTGGAACTACAAATCCCATGAGGTATTGCAAGATTCTCGCAGCCACAGACATGACTCCTGGAGAGAGATGCATCATGGGATTTGTAGTTTCACCACAGCTGGAGGGCCGGAGTTTGGCTACCCCTGCTTTAGTCTCTACTCACCACAACCTCTATGGTTATATACTGCTTTCTAGGTTTGGTAAGGGGTGGTTCTAGGCGAGTGGTAAGGGGTTTTGGTTTCTATTGCATGACATGGGTATTTCTGGTGGGGAGATGCACCCCTTCTACCCGGACTGAAAGTGACAGGAAATTGGGGGGGGGGAAAACAATTTGGCTGTAAGTCCAATTTACAACAATTTCTTTATAATAGAGCAGTGTCCGGTGGTGTGGGCTGGGGGAGGGGTAATGAGCTTCTTCTTTGCAGGGATACCTTTTATTTCCTTTTTCATTTGCACAACAGAGCGGCCTTAACTCTAGTAATCCCTTTGCAGGTTGTTCTTTGAGTATGGATCTTCGCTGGTCAGTACGAATTCTATTGTGTGCGGCGTGATGGCTAACAACTTATTCCGAGGAGCGCTGAAGATCAGGAAACGTTACCTGACTTTCTTGCCAGTAACTGTAGTCCCCTTCGTGTTCACTAATATCTATTATGAGGTGCTCGTAACCCAGCCCCTCATTCAAGGTTTGTGATGACATTAATGCTGTAAACATGTTTCTTTTCCCCCTCCATTCTAATGTAATTTAATTCTGTCAGAATATTAATATGACAGCTGCCATGGCCGGTGAGATGACACACCCCTAGGGGGTATGTCCGTGACACCCTGGGCTCACAGAAAGCAGGTTGAATGACACTGGGTGTCATTCAGCCTGGAAGAGCCAGGAGAGGAATTAGATGTGGGGTGGGGGGAGAGGGCCAGTGCTTGAGCGCGGTGAGTAATGCTGGCAAAACAAATACTACTTTTTAAAAATGTTTTTGATAGGCTGCACTTTTAGTATATATTATGCACTCTCTCAAACCTGCCAATATGATAGGTTACCTTTGCGAAACAATAAGTTCTGCTTCTATCAATGTGGCCTGCTTTGCCCTTGAATCACTATTCGGTGAACCGTTTATTCCCGGCTACCATTAAAGGGTGCTGTGGACACACAGGAGACCTCATTTACATTAGTCTGAATGAGCAGCCTGTGTTGGAGGGGAGGGGCTTGTGACATGGCATCAGCACAGTACTGGAAGGCTGTAGACAATAGAGGTGGAAACGGGGTGTATTTTTGGTAAAGCAGTCCCAGCGATTGTTCCAGAATTATTCATAGGCTCAGGACTCAGTAGCAATCCATAATTCATAGCAAACTTACACTTATAAAATTGTATACTTTATATCAATCATGTGTATTGTTATCATTAAAGCAGGAATGCACCGATATCGGATTTTCAGTATCGAGTATGAGTACTGATGTACCGATACTGGTACTTCCACTAGCAGGGAGCCGGCTTCCCGAGCAATCAGGAAGCCAGGCAGCGGGTAATGACACGCCGCCTGGCTTCTTGATTGCCCAGGAAGCCGGCTCCCTGCTGATTGGCTGAGAAGCTGGCTTTCCAGCCAATCTGATTTGAGGTGCCAAATAGCATGGAGCCGGCTTCCCGGCCAATCAGGAAGCCGGGTGGCGAGTTATTACCCGCTCCATGTTCCCTCGTGGCACTGCCTGTCAGAGGAAATCTCCCTCTGACCGAATGTCCCAGTATCGGCGATAAGTATCGGAGCATTTGGCTGAGTACTTGTATTTGCCCAAATACTCAGTATCGGCACCAATACCGATACTAGTATTGGTATTGGTGCATCGCTAGTTTGCACAGACAACAGAGCCAGCTTGGTGGCCTGAGTTGTGGTGCTTGAAGTCATGCAGTACAGCCTGGTCACCTTTCCGCGCTCAGCCTCCAAGTGGACAGTCATGGAGCAACAGAAGACTATTGAGACCATCCCTCTACTTAAGTTAGCAGTTTCACATCTGCATACAGTACACCTGACTGGCTGCAAAGCTGGTCTCCCTCTCCTAGTATGAGTGCTGCTGTGCAGGAAATGTCAGGAACATGATACCAAATCAAATTCAAATACCTCTGCTAGTTGCATTTAAAACTAAGAAATGAAAAGTGTATCAAGCCCCCTCCCCCCCCATACAAAAATCCTGGATTGCTTTGGATTCCATTGCAGGCTTTTTTTTCTTCACTTTTTACCCTTTGATCCTGCCAGTAAAGGACTTCCTGCCTTAGGCTGGCTACGTTCACAAACTCTGGGCCTGTGCAGGAGCTGCCTTGGTACCCTAGGACGTTATTTTGTGAGGCCAGCCTATTGCAGAGCTTTCAGCTTGGGTTCCACCCACGGCTATGAGGTGGAAGGTAGAGCGCAGAGCTGGAGAGCCCATATACAAGTTTATTCCAATGACAGACTGTTTACAAGCACGATGCTTTTCAGGGCCCGCAGCCCCCGAAACGCATTGGGTGTTGAAATCACGGTGTGGCACTTCAGTTCTAGAATCACTGCTGTATTGTAGTTAGTCAGTCGGTTGTTGTAACTCTTTATCATGCGATGTACTAAGAATTTTAACTGGCTTAATTTGCAGGTTCATTGAACTGTCCTATGTGTGCCATGACGAGGGGCGGCTACGTTGGGGTGTTTATGGGTGGCGTGGCTCCAATTCTTCTGGCTGCTTTCCTCAATTTAATGGCAATACCGATGTAAGTATGGCTGTCTGGCTCCTCTATGAGCATTATCAGAATGGAGATGGGGAACATCCATTCCTAACCTCATCAATGAGCATGTGTGAGCACTTCTGGGTTTAGATCTGTCAAACTAGTGACAAGTCTAATAAATCCCTGATGTGTCTTTAAAGAGGACCTGTCTTTACTGGGGAACAAACGCTTTATACAATATAAATGGTGGCTGACTTCAGCGGCTGGTACCTTACCACTGCTCTAGCAGACATCACTTGTTATCCTCCAAAAGGGAAGGTGTGTCTTTGGCCACTGACCATGTGGTTGTCGAAGTGGACCGGTATCAGCTGCCAAAGGGAGCCTGGGGCAACACACAGGTAACTGCAGTTTGAAGCCATTAAGCCTATAGGACAGCAAGGAGGATGGTTGATTAGAAGATGACTGTTATTACGTGATGGATCAGCATTAACACACCCACAGAAAGTGTGTTGAGATGGTGTCTAAAGCACTGCAGAAGGACCATCGAGTAGGGGACTGTGTGATCGGACAGCTCACCCGTTGTAGCAGTGCAATCCATCTTGGTCTTGCACGTACAGTCCACCTCTATATTATCCATACACACATCCATACGTTCTGATCTTCTCATAAAAGCCAACTTTGTTAGAATGGATGCAGCATGTAATGTTTTAAAGTTTCACACTAACCCACAGTCATAGTGTATATGCCATGTGCTGGGGGTTGGTTCATGGTCCATCGAATGGGAGCCATAGTTATTCTCCATGTGATTGCCCCGGGACCATTGACGTTCATTCCCCTTATTATTGTATCTATAAGCTCTTAGATAATGAGTTATTTTACAATAACAGACCACCAATACACTGCCTAACATGTCCCCATACCTCCTTTGCCAGACTGTCGTATCATCACTAGTCCCATTAGGTTAACGGTATGACTTCAAAAGACGTCTGCTTCACCAGCTTCTTCTCTGGCTACAGGATCTGGAGAAATGACACACTGAAACAGGAAGTGATGTAATAATTTCCGCTTTTAGTAGTTGGAAGGAAGGAAGATCAGCCACTGGAAGTGTGCTGATCTCCCTCTGATCAATGTACACAGACCTGACATGCCAGTCCTGGGCCTGCATGGGGAACAACGGAGTGAAATGACACACTGAAACAGGAAGTGATGGAATTAATTTCCGCTTTAAGTGATCGGAGGGGAACTCGGCCAATGGAAGTGTGCTGATCTCCCTCTGATCAATGTACACAGACCCGACATGCCGGTCCTAGGCCTCCATGGGGAACAACGGAGTGAAATGACACACTGAAACAGGAAGTGATGTAATTAATTTCTGCTTTAAGTGATCAGAGGGGAACTCAGCTGGTGGAAGTGTGCTGATCCCCCTCTGATCAATGTACACAGACCTGACATGCTGGTCCCAGGCCTGCATGGGGAACAGCAGAGTCTGGGATAGCCAGCGGCGGGGGGTGCACATTCCCACGCACCATATAAGTGATTGGGCGGCTCTATAGCTGCCTGGACGCTTGCACGTAACAGCCATCGCCAGGTTTAACAAATCTTTACAGTGGGCTGCTCGTGCATGCGCCAGCAGGTTAAAAAAAACAAAACATTTATTTACAGCAACCCACATCCAAGAGCGAGCCATCCCTCCGTTTATATGCAGCGGGGAAGACAGCAAGCGGTTAAAGGAAAACTCCTGGAAAATCAAAACCTTGCCCTTGCATTGGGGCTACCCCCACACTGCACGGGTTAAGTGCTCATTTGTCTAGGGGGCTCAAATAAAGCAGATTTACTTACCTGATCCTCGGTATCACTGGCTCCATTTGGGCAGCTAGACTGGTCCTCACAGCCTCTACTCCGCGGTGCTCTGGTGGTCTAATGACCGCTGACATCATCACTTCTGATGCTGGTCCATTGACCTGCAATAGACGTGTGGACGCCGAGGGACATTCCATAGCCAGAAGTGAGGGGACGAGAGGTGAGCACTGGCCACCGAGGGACTAAGGATCAGGTTAGTAAAACTGCTTTATTTGTGCCCTCTAGACAAAACGAGCACTTAGCCCTTACAGTGTGGGGGTAGCCCCAGCGCAAGGCTAAGCTTTTGCTTTTTTTTTTTTCTTTTAAAAAAAATGGTAATTCACAAGCTAGCTACGAGGGTGATTTGTGCTGTTTTTGTGCAGTTAAAACATGGAATCGTGCTAATTACTGATGGCATGTTATTCACATCAAGTCAATTTTTGCACTTTGCATCAGGGCCTGTAAAGCAGAGAAACTTAGGCAACATTCACACTATGGAGTTTGGCAGGAATCCCAAATCTCCCATTTAGTGGGTTCAAGCTAATGACCGGGTGACAGCGGCCGCATCTGTAAGCGGCAGTCCGCATGTAATCGCATGCGATAGGATTACTTGGAGTTTGGAATGGATCCTGCCGCAGGAATCCCACATCCCATAGTGTGAATCTTTTCACGGTGACAATTCAGCTGCCTATTGGGAAGGCAATGTAACAAAGTCGGTGGGAAGGCAATGTAACAAAGTCGGTGGGAAGGCAATGTAACAAAGTCGGCTCGTCGTTTGGATGCAGTCACTGCTTTAGCGTATGTGGACAATAATTCTCTTTATTACATATTTCTTTGTACTTTCTGCCGATGAATGTCTGTCTTGTAGCCGTACAATCCTGTATATTTCTAGATTTGCTGGAATTGCCATCTCCATAACGGAGTATGTTTTGTATTGTTTCTGCCAGTGAGCTACGGACTCGAATGAAGAGGACTGTCGTGCGGGAAATGATATCCTTCACCAAGCCGGTGTTCAGCCGACTGAAATATTTCCTTCTGTTTGAAGCCGTAGCCAGCGTCTTCGTCACCTCCAGACAAGTCAGCACCATAGAAAAGCTGCTTCAGATGCAACCTGTTCCAGAGACGAAGGAGGAGCTTGTGGAATAAATTTCTTACCTGACATATGCATACAAATATTTCCTTATTGTAAAGTCTTTGGTGTGTTAAAGCCTATCTCCGGGGGAGAAAAACCCCCCACTCCCCTTGCAGGGGGCTGCGTCCGCACTGCAAGGGTTAAATGCTCGTTTAGGTGAAGGGTGTTGGGTAAAGCAGTTTTACCTGATCCCCGCTCCCCCAGCAGTTGGTGCTCAACTTGTCCCCCCTACGCTCCGGCTTGTGGGTTGTCCCTTGGCGTCCTTGCGTCTAATGCAGAACTATGGGCCCGTGATGATGTCCGGGGGTTTCCGACCGGCAAAGCGCAGGGGCTGTGGGTGCCGATCTTGGAGCCTGCAGGAGCACGGATCAGGTCAGTAGAAGACCTTTTCCCAGATACCCTAGACCAGGGGCAGGCAAACTTCGGCACTGTGGCTGCGGTAAAACCACAAAGCCCATCATGCATCTGCCTCCGGAAGTCATACCCGCGGCTGTCGGAGTCTGGCAGTGGCTCATGGGATTTGTAAGTTCACCACAGCTGGAGTGCCAAGGTTGCCTGCCCCCGCCCTAGACCTAAACGAGTACTAAACTCTTATAATGCAAAAAGTTTTTTGTTTTTTTTTACTGAATTCAGCTTTATTGCTTTTGAAAAGTGTAACTACAAGCAAAATAAAATAATCACGTACATGATGGAGTCTGTCCGAGTCTTATTAGAGGAAGCAATGTCAGTCCAGGAGAGGGGCCTGACTAAAGTGTACCTGGGGGAAGTGGTTTTGGTTTTGTCGGTTCAGTAGGTCGGGAAGAGAGAGAACACATACCGGCGTTCGCTCACCTCTTTGCCGTGACAGGGGAGGGGCTGGATTCCCCCCTCCGATCCTCCAGCGCTGACGGACGGGGGAGGGGGTGGGTACAGCTGGCTCTGCCTCTAGATAGGCAGAGCCAGCTGTCACTCACGCAGCTGGGCGGATTGTCGGGATCCGCTTCATCTGCGGCGTCTCAGTATACCGCGAGCTGTAGCTCTCTATATACTGAGCCTAGGGTGACGGGAGGACGCTAGTTTGTGTCCTCCCGTTACCCTAAGGAGAACTATGGGGAAAAACACTGACCCTATAGTTCTCCTTTAAAGATAAAAGTTGAACACACCAAATATTAATTTAATTTCGTTTTTTTTATTTACGCACTTTGCAGGTTTGTTATTTAATAAAAAAAATACTAATAATGTCTTTGTTTTTAAACCATCTTCACTTATCAGCTATTGTGCACATATAGCGTCTGCGGTTTCTGCACGGAAAACCGTGAGGGACGAAAACGCTAATATTTTCTAATCCACGCGGATGCCGCTCATTTGCGGCTATTAAATAGCCACGAACATGCGGAATCCACCAGATTATCGCGCTTGTACTATTTCGGGGGCTGCACGGTTTCGTACCGCACGGCCCCCGCAATAGCCTGAACGATGCACATTAAAGTGCATTGTATTTTCCTGTGTAGAGCGGCTCCGTGCGTATTCGTAGAGCCAAATACGTGCGGACATCCACTCAAGTGTGACTGGAGCCTAAAGCTTTTTCCCAGCACTACATATTTTAACCCTTTCCCTTACCCCATCCCTTACAGCTTACTGGCTTTAGGCCCCTGTAAACAGATTCCCGCCAGCTGTAGCCTGTCAGTTTACACTGGAAGCAATTCTGGCAGCAGAGCTTCCGCCAGATCACTTCCAGGGGCCGGTAAACAGGGTCCCCCTACCTGACTCCCCCGCCTTGCTTCCGGGGCTCTGCTGTCCTTTCTGCAGGTTCGGGGCCGGCATCACGGGTGTCACAATGGAGAGAAACTAGCAAGCATTCATTTGCCGATCTCCTCCCCACTGAATGAAGCCGAAAGTGACGCTGATTGCATTACTTCACTTCCAGCTCCTCGGCTGTCATTTCCCTGCTAGAGAAGCTGCGCTTGAATAGCTTCTTCGGAGTGGAAAAGTGACACTAGGGATCTAATAGACTCCTAATGTCCCTTAAAGGAAACTTGTTACCAATAATAGGCTATCACACAGGGGGCTTGTGAGTCCTCCACGTGATAACAAGGCAGTAAAAAAAAAGTTACAAAATAAATTAAATACCAAAATTATTTAAAGCTGGTGTTACTGGGACAGGAAGTGAGGGGAAAGTGCCCCAAAGAAAACACCAAAATTATTATTACACAGGATTTATATAGCGCCAACAGTTTGCGCAGCGCTTTACAATATAAGGAAGACATTACAATCACTAAAGGACAAGATGGTAAGGAGGGCCCTGCCCCTGAGAGCTTACAATGTAAAAGGGAGGGGCCAGTGATACATGAGGAGGTAGCTGTGTGGGGTGGTTCTGGCTTTTACACACTTTCAAAAATAAAATAAAGTTTTTGCTGAAGTTGGGCTTTTATGTCTCAAAAAAAACGCCCCGCAATAGAGGGGGGGGGGTGTGACATTTCCTTTTGAAGGATATTCAGCACCGGATACTTCCAGCTTTATCCACCCACCATCACTACAACTCTGCAGGGACACAATGATATAATGGCCACTGGGTGGAACTAGAGTGCGGGGGACGCAGGTATCCAACACACCTGGAATGGGGTTGAATGTTGAAGGTTCATTGGCTGAAGTAACTCGAAGGGGAGCTCACTGGATGATTATTACACCGCTCTTCTGCCCATGGTTTTTTTTTTTTATATAAAAGTGACACTAATCTCAGGAGTTAAATCTTAAAATACATTCAGGTACCTTAACCATTAAATTGTTTTATCTGATGTGTGTATCACTCGGCTGTAGATCATCCAATCATCTCTGAATTGGTGCTGACACTGTCCTTCCTTCTGGAGGGGGGCTACTTTGTTCCCCATGGTCCCTGTGTGTGTTGTAAAGTAGTCACCATTCCAAGCTCGCTCCCGTGGTGGACTACAATCTCATGTATAGTTCAGTTTACTCATTTGTCTTGAGACTGTAGTCCATCACGGGAGCCGCACGTTGCCGAAACACTAAGGTGTGAATTGGGGACCTGAAGGGTAATTACATTTTCCCAGGTGAATTTGGGAAAATGGAATTACCCCCACCAATCTGCTCCCTGCTGCTCTTACCTGTCAACGATCGCTCCTTTCCCTCCACTGCTGCCCGTGTAATATCCGTAGTCTGAACACGGGATTGCAGCCCTGCGATATGTATTTCAAATTTTGCTTGCAAATGGGGAGCACTCATTGGTCAGCGCAGTCACTGACCAATAAGAAGCACACTTGAACGCGCTGACCAATGAGTGCTCCACATTTGCAAGCGAAATTTGAAATACATACTGCAGGGTTGCAATTCTGGAGATTTACTGGTAGTGGAAGAAGCGATCGTTGATAATGTAAGAGCAGCGAGGGGGTAAAAGGAGCAGATTGGTGGGGGCAATTACCCTTTAACTGCAGTATTAGCATCTTCACTCCAGTCTTTCTCCTCCCCTGACATTTTTTTTCGAAAACACCTTTTCTTAGTATTTTTGACGAATTTACAACTTGTTCCTCACCTAGACAAGGGTGATGTAGCCCTTCTCCGCCTCCAGGGATGCATGTCACAGATCCCAGCGGGGCTGAGATGCCAAACCGTTTGCGAGATCTTCTTCCACTATGGCATGTAATCTTAACAGTCATGGTGCCAGATCTCCATCTGGACATGTGCAAGATCAGGCGCTGTGTCATCAGCGGGCCAAGTGCAGTGACAGCTGGTGCCAAATAAAGATGGTGGCACAGGAGGTGCATTGAGGACAACGCAGGACTTGCTGGGCTTCTATGTATGTTAACGCTGGAAAAATGACGATAACAGACAATGTCCGCTTTACCCAAAGATGACATTGAGGGCCCTGTCACATCATCAGGAGTGCGTTTGGCCACTGGAACGCAACCCGGCCAGCTCAATTTGTTTGGGGCGGTGCATTGAACCCAATGGCACCGCAGCCACTCACCCCTCGCCCGCGGTGTGATTGCCGGCACCTGTACGCGTGGCACATTGGTGGCTGCGTTCCGGGTCAGTGCTAGCTGAAAAAAATGCTGCAAACACTATTTTTGGCAGATTGCACTGGACCGGAACGCAGCCACCAATGGGCCACGCGTTCGGGT